ATGAGGTGGTTGAGCCACTTGCTGCTTCCCTGATCAACTGCCTCTATTCGGGTCAAGCCATGCAGTGCTCCTCTCACCTCAGAGGGTTTTCTTTGAGCCTGCAGCTCCCGTCTGAGCGTTTGTGGTCTGTAAGCAGATGCTTCGGAATCTGTTCTGTGAGCGTGCCACAGTCACATAGGGCCCCTAGGCTGGCTTAATACAGCCTTGGTTACCCCTTAAGCAACTGTGTTTCTAAATCCTTACCATGGCAAGTGCACACGCTAAGCCTCTGTGCACTTTCTAAAATCCACTTTGTGGTAAGTGTGCACGCTAAGCATTCTGCGTACTTTCTAAAATTCTTTATGGTAAGGGTTATGCGCTGTTAGCCTCATTCCCTTTCTCTGAGTTGGCTTAGGCCCTGGTTCTCGTCCTTGGGCTCCACTCAACTAATCTATCACTGTTGATACATTTCTGAGCAGGGTGTTGCTACCAAAGATCTGTCGAGTCAGTTCTTTGAGCGAGCTCATTCAGAGCCGGCAGTAGCCACGTGGGTGACAGGCCAGTGTCTGGGTTTTAGACCCTTGGCCGTATCCCCTCAAAGGAATCTCTTTCTTCTGATTCCAAGCCTTTGAGCTCTGCCCTAGGCTTGGGCTTCCCAGCCCAGCCACTATCAGGTAAGTTGTTTAGAGTATGCAGCTCAGGCCCTTGGCCGGAGGGTATAATGTCACTGACAGCCGTCAAGGCATCCTAGGGGCAACTCCCATGGCTATGGTAGAGTTGGTACTTAGTGCTCGCCGTGGTTTTCTGGCATGCACTCCCCTCAGCATGGTAGCGTGGGTATACCATTCCCCATAGCGACCCCTAGAGAACGCAGTTCGAAGTTCCCTCGAAAGGGAGCGTCTCAGGTTACGTATGTAACTATGGTTCCCTGAGAAGGGAACGAGGCACTGCGTCCTCTAGTTTCCTTGCCATGCATCGGACGCAAGCTTCAGACGAAGATGCGCTTGACGTGTTATCTCGGCGCCCTTTTATACTTTGATCGCGCAGGGTAATGACATCATAGGTTGTTGCCGGCCAATGTTATTGTCGTTTTTAGACGTATGCTTCAGACACCGGTCACGCTGAACGTGTTCCCCATAGCAACCCCTAGAGGACGCAGTGTCTCGTTCCCTTCTCAGGGAACCATGGTTACATACGTAACCTGAGACGTTTATCATTATGTAGGTCATTTTTTCAAAACTCCTCACTATGTGTATATGTGGGATAAACTGTGGATCATTCATCATTGCTTTGGCACATGCATTCAGTACATCTTTCCAGCTTTGGTTATGGGAAAGTGAGGATGGTTGCAACACTTTTTGCATTTCCTCCAGTTTCTCAGAGACTGAGAGTATTTGTATTGGAAAGCCAAAATTTTATTATATTAAACCAACATCTGTCAGCTACTCACCCACACTGCTGTAACATGACTTTGTGATGATATACGTACACTTTATACTTGAATAGACATGGTCAAATGTTGCAAATGACCCTATAACAGGGGATAGTTGCAACAGTTAAATTGGCTGTATAAAGACAAAGACTATTAAATGAAGAAATGATAAAAATAAATAATAAAAAATTATCATAATGATAGGAATACCAGTGTGTGTGTGTGTGTGTGTGTGCGACGATACATCTGTCAGAGAGCTGGCACGTGAGTCACTTTTTCTACATCTACAGCAGCGCAAAATACCAGAATTGAATTGGTTTTATGACAACACATTTGACAGTGACTATTTTAAAAACATTCCAAACACTCCGGACATTGTGATTGTAAACAAGGCTTTGAACTCTGTATTTGTCATTGAGGTTGGCTGTTGTTTTGATCTGTATTTTGATACCTGCTATCTTTCCAAACTGCTGAAATATCAGCCATTGGTTGAAGCCATCCATCAACTTGACTATCACTGTAAGTTAATTACCCTAGTATTTGGAAGTTTAGGTCATGTACACAAGAATGTGATTAAAGGTCTGCAGTTAAGTGGATTGCAAAAAAAGAAAGCAAAAAAATTTTTTTTTTCAGTTTCAGCCACTATAGGGAGTATGCAAATATGGAAACGATCGAGGTATGCATGCGCACATGTATACATTAGCTTCTCTTGATTCAAATGTCTGAATAAGGACATGATAGCTAGGAATGAGGTTCGTGATGAAACCATGAAGATAGTTTAGCCTCCTTCGCAAAAGTCTATTCCTAATATGTCCATGTTTTTCTGTTCATATGGCCATTTTATATAAACACATGTTCTTGGCCAAAGATCCTATATGTATGTCATCTATATCCTCATTGGTTAAAGGGTTGAAACTCCCCTCGACATATGCCTATATAATATCTTTGTATCTATGAATAAAGTTGAAGTATTGAGAATACCATTGAATGTGTGTTTTCTTGCTTCCCGGCCGTATATCTACACTTTAAAAGACTGAGAAAATTTCACGGAGGCAAAGAGAATTTACAGAGGGACCAATTGTTAATTTCTAACAGTGAGACAAAGAGAGGCTAAGACAAAAGGAAATTAGTCTACATCAGATCAGCTATTTACATAAATAAAAAAGGGGAAGAAACCTGACTCTTGAAAGGGGCTCTTTATTAATCCATAAAATTAGAATTTGGTTATGTTATGAGAAGTTGTATATCAATGGTGTGATGAGAGACAGCGTGTTGAGACAACAACATGTCCCTACACTGACACCCAAGACGAAACTTGCTATGCTAGTTTGGCACATGCTAGCTATGCCTATGAGAAGCAAAGAAAACACTGATAAAATGATATGATTTTACAATGCTACAGATTAGAGAGTATGACAAAAAATACCTTGAAAAATATTTCTTGCAGAAGGAATGGTCACATGTGTCTTTCTTCCAGGAATGAGGATGGGCTAATTGAGCATGTGCAGCATGAATACTGAAGGAATAAGCCAATGAACCTGTTGAATCGGTTCGCAAATCACACTGAACGATTCATTTGTGAATCGGACTGATCCAATTGCAGCTGTTCTTGAGTCAACAAGATCACAACTTGGTTCAAATAACTAACTGGCCTGCTCTGCTCGTCTGGAATGAGGATGAAGTGAAGTGTGTCCGGGAATGAGAAGGGTGATGTTGTAGGTACATGTAGGTTGTAGATAGGCATGATGATGGAAGAATAATGTTCTGTCCCACTCTGATCTTATCTGAGACAGCTGTTCTTCCTCATCCTCCTCTTATTCTCATTCCTTCAGCTCCAGTTCTTGCTTTACCATTGATTTCCATTTTCCTATAAAGTTGGGAAGCTCATCTTTGTCCTATTATAGTGCTAAAGCTTTGAATTCTAAGTGAACTACTGTTTACATCTCTGAGGACTGGGTGCTTCCAATTGTTGTTTCTAAGAGCTTGACACTGTGATTGGCATTGCTTTCTAAAGTTACTAAAGATAATTTATATGTTGTGCCTAATGTAGAGAACTGTGTGTAGTGTTTTGCAAAAGAGGCCTGTCTTAACGATAAAGTGGTCTCTTAGTTTCTCCAAGTGGTCTTTTTTTTGGTATCGCACCTTGACTTTTTACTTATTACAGTAGTATAAAATTGTGTACAAATATACATGTATACAATGCACTGTATTCACAAATTGTTATTCAGCTTGTTGTAATCAGCATAATTGTTTCAAACTAGATAAACTAATTACCACATTTTGGCATTATTACTATTTAGAATTATATATTTATATAATATTTATATGCATTACAAAAGTCGTAAATGGCAATCACAAGTGATTGTTTAGTTTTGTTTGTTTTTTTTCCTAATTAAAAAGGTACAGGTAGGCTGCTGTTTGCCAGCTATATACATAAACATCTGGCCATCAGAAGACATTTTTGGAAATCTAACATTGTAGTTAAAGGGGTCATAGGATGCCCATTTTCCACAAGTTGATATGATTCTTTGGGGTCTTAATGAAAAGTCTGTAACATGGTTTGGTTAAAATTTCTCAATGGTACTGTAAAAAACACATTTTTTACCCTGTCAAAAACAGCTCTTTTCAGATCAAGCCGTTTTTGTAGCATTTTCCTTTAAATGTTAATGAGCTCTGCTGACCCCGCCCCTCTCTTCCGAGCTGCTCTCAGAGAGACTGTTTACTTTAGCCGCATTCATCGTGAAACTTGCTAATTAGCACATTATTAGGAAAGGCGATTTGCAAAGATTCATTACAAAACATTATACTCACTTCCTCTGTAGATGAGGCTGGATCATGAATAATTTGCGCGAACATAGACGCATTTATGTAGATCGGGGGCACATTCCCTTCAGAAACAAACGAAATCCACTGCGTCTTCGGCGGCTCAGATGTCGGGAGTAAATGAAGACTGCTATGTTCACTATTACATCCAACAACAGAACACCTCAATCGCCTAGGAGTCATTCTTGTCTACATCTGCTCCAGCAGTGAAACAATGGCGGACTGATGACAGCTCACTCAGAGCAGGTCTGAGGTAAGACACCAGTCCAGTCTCTGCTGAAACGCTACTGTCAATCAAACTATCATGGGAGGGGCCTGTCTGTGTGACGTCACACAGACAAGCATCTGAGATCGGCTCGATTTGAGAAAGGGGAAAACATTTAACCAGATAAAAAAAAAACACTGGGTGGATTTTTATCATTATAGGGTGGTTGTGTACACACACTGCCAACACACATTTCAGTTAAAACAACTTGTAAAAGTCCATGAAGCACCCTATG